GACCTTGAATAAATATAATCAATCTGAAATTCTGTTGAAAGAATAGAACTAACGATCCCCTCCCCCACTCGCACTCAAACCGGCCATCTCGATTCAAAAGGATCCAAACAAGATTCTCATGGAGATAGGCCGATCGTAAATGTTACATTGGAAAGGTATTCTTCCCCACTCCGACTGACACTCAAAAGAAATAACATTCATACACAACAAGTTGGGTATCCATCAAACAACACGTTCACATTCCTCACGGGACGCGCAATTAGGACCCCCAGGGCAAATGTGCGTGTGAGTGGGAGCGCGCAATGCGAAATCAATAGGCGCCGAGCGACGGAAGACACACACACATACGTGCACAAAGATGAAGACCCCGAGGGTAATTATGAAGACGCGCACAGTGACGTCAGAAAAAGAGGAAAAACAAGAAAAAAATGTTAAAGAAGATAGATGACGACATAAGGAACTCACTTGGGAAGCAGAATCGAAAGCGAGGCCCAGTCCTCAATATGTGCTGGTCCACTGCAACCAAGGCCGGAATCTGGAGAATCTTCCTGAAGAAAAAACGGTGAATGGAAAGAATCGTGAGAGGAGAGAATTTATTTCTTGAAATGTTCAATAAGATGACCCATAGACTGGAAATAATCGGGCCAACAATTTGATTTCAAATTAAATACATCTAGGAGGGTTCCCGGCACCACTGGTGAGACTTGTTCCCAGGAGTTCTTCCAGCTTATTAGGTCGCAACTAGCCATACTATTGTGTGGAACTAGCTCCCAATGAGCTGGAAGTTAATGGTGCGGACGGCGGAATCTCATAACAGGTTGGCACCGTTGAATACTGCATTACAATGCATAGCGACCGTTAAGCGCATGCTTCGGACGTCATTAACATTACTAAAGATTCTCTCCCGTATGAGAAGAAAGACCACATGCTTGTCGAGCTTATCAATCGAATAAGCAGGTAGGGTAAGTAAATCGCCCGATCGAGATCCTTACTGAATGCCCTAAGTGTAAAGTGCTTCGACCAGACGGGTTCTCGAACATCTGGAACTTGCCTGAAGCAACGATGGCAGTGGTAAATCTAGGTCGGACGTCAATGGAGGCATGCCCTCACGTTGAACTTTCAGCATCACATCACTTAAGGACATCGTCGACGACTCACATAATGTTGGAATCTGAACAGAAACAAGCTCATAAAAGTGTGACGCGTAAAATCGTAGACAACATTCTCATGAGGGAGTTGCACTCACCTGATGCGGAAGAGCGAGAAATCGCAGCTCGGGTGCGATTGACTTGTGCAAATCGGCGAACGTTCGTCGTGGTTTCGTCGGCGCCGACGTGCGGACGAAACTGCCACCGCTCGTCGGTGCTGACGACGCCGCCGGTCGGGCGGCTCTCCAGCGGTCCTGAGACGTGGAGGCGCTCGCCGCTTCGAGCTGAATCTCGTTGTCGTTGACGTCCACATAACGACCAACACCACCATTTTCGAGTTCACGGCCGACAAAATTCGCCAAAAGACTCGTCGGTCGTTGATTGTTGGCTGTAGTGGACGGCGTCGTAGGTGGACGGGTTACCACGTTTGGTGCACTGGAAACAAAACATTGAAGGGGAACTTTGCTCAAAAATCCAAAGGAAGGCTCATAGCTAAGGCCAACTGGGCCTTCTTTGGCCTTGGTTAAATACGGCCACAAAACGGTTGAGAGAAAAAACCAAGAAAGAAATTTGAAAACTTCAAAAGCACTTAGCAGTAAGGGTCATGTGAACCCAAAAAGTTGAAGGTAGCTTTGAAGACCAAGTAACCGGGTCACGTGGTTGGGGGCCAAAGCATAAGTGCAGCGCCCCGGGGCAATCGTCAAACACAGACGTCACGCCCGATAAATTCCTTCGCGCAAATCCTTGAAATCCTGACGAAAATCTGCGGCTGTGGTCGCAATTACAGAAGGATACCATAAGGTGGTAAATGGTACCCACCCTGGGTAGGTCACGGAGATTACGGTAAGGCTGCGAAATTTAAGCTTTCGAATTCAAAGATGTAAAGTGTTCGAATCAGGTGAGGAAAAGTGACTTGAAAAAAGAAAAGAATGACTGATAGTACCTGGCAGTTGTTTCATCAAGCGGTTCAGTGGAACGAATTCGTCCCCACGTGGTCAGCTGGCCGCTTTGCCAATGTCCTGAATCGGCGAATGTGAGCTGGAAGTCCTCGGTTCGATGACGGCATCGTTCCCGGAGTTGTTCCGAGTCCAGCGAGTCAGTACTGACGGAACTCGAGGCGAACAGTGCCGAATCGCCCCCGAAATCGAGTTGAGCGATACGAGTGTCGATGTCCGATGGCCAGGTGTCATCTTCAGGGTATAGTTGCAGTTCACAGAGCTCCATGAGCACGACCCTGATGGACCGGGACGGAGGACGAGCTGCTGCTGGCTGCTACGAGGCTGTGCGCTGTGCTGATGGTCCCCGCCGAGGAATCGATGCCGCCCCCTGCGTCTCTGCCCGCCCGCGCCACACCCTCCCGTGTGACTCTCGCCACCTGGGCGCGTACCGGCCACAGGCCGCCGTCAGTCAGCTGGTTCTTCCCGTCCGGGTATACGGTAACTAGTAATGGTGAATCTGTCTGTCACTCACCGTTTATTCCTCACATTTACGTGGTCGTTTGCAGTAGCACGTCGTTGATGACGATCCTGTTCCATTGGCCATACTCGCCGTCCAACTGGTGGATACGCCGCGTTGTCGGCGATTCGCCGCGATTGGAAGATTCCTTTTCAAGATACTTGGAGTTCAACACCTAGAACTGATAACATTGGATATCCATGTATGTGTGTTTACGAGTCCCCAGCTGGCGAAAGCTGGTTTGGAACGGCTGGGCGACGCCGATTCGCCCGACATATTCCACACATAGGTACACAACGGGCGGGTGTTACAGGCGGGTGCTACCCGGAAAAAATCGCTTTGGGAAAACAATGTAAGGGTTAGTGATGATAACTTCGCAGTAACATATATTCATGAATCTTTACAGCTATCAAAAAGCCCAAGCAACTGCCAGGTGGTTGACATAAGTGACTGGCTCATTTTATCTACCATTTTACGATCTCAGGAAACAATTGTGTAAACTGGAACAAATGTAACATGTTCCCTGCAAAATATGTTACATTTGTTCAATTGTGACATGCTTTTTTGCAATTTACCCAATTTAAATATTAAACTTTTACATGAGATGATAAAATGCTGCTATCTCTAAGCTTCGTTTGATGCTGTACTGATGAGTGTTCTAGATGCTCTTGTAATTAGGTTTTTTTAATTGTTATATTATTTATGTGTATTGCTAATTATATTGTCTCGATGGGCGGAAATGGAGTAGTGGAAAGTGACGCTGCTTACCACGCACGCGGTCCAAGGATCGAGTCCTGGGTCGTGCGTCGTCCGGCACAAGCCCCATCCCTCCGAGCGGTCGGTTAATGGCTTACAGACGTTTTGTCTGGAAGATCAGAAAAAAGAAACACTGACTTGTACTATCGCGGTTGCCCCACAAATCATATGTATTAGGCGCAGACCGATCAAGACTGCCACTGCAGTGATGCACAGCAGATGGATAGGAAATTTTGGCCCCGTTTGGGACGATCCCACAAGGGACTGAATGCAAGAGAAAGAAATGCCTCTCGTGCCTGACTTATATGATGTTGTGTTATACTATTGATCATTGAGTTATTTACCTGTGATAAAGACGGTTAAGTAAAAGAAAATGAGGAGTTGAGTAATTCATGTCTTCAGAAACACGGCCAACACATCCCGAAGTTCTCTCAGGAACTGGAAGTGCTTCACGCTCACACAAGGCTACCAGTAATAACATTCTCAGGTCTTCAGGTGCCTCTGGTGGACGATAGGTTTGGATGGTCTTCGGCAGTATTCAAGATATTGCAGATAGGGTCAACCGTACTAATTTAATACTGAGGACTCATATTTGTGTGCTCTAAGGGGGCGTAGTGGTGCGTAGACGGGGAGGGGAAGGTGGGAAAGTGGGGTATGCACTACTGCAAGATGTACTCTTTCCCAAATCAATGCCATTGTGGATCCTTGTTGTGGAACTTCGGTCCAGGGCATTCATGCATAATGCCGATTTTGAGTCTTCACATCACTCTGTTGCTAAATCTCGACACGACCCCCACCGCGAAGACGGCCCTTGAATGGAGGGAGGGGGGGGGGTGAGGGGAGCCACCACCACCCTCACCACATGGCTACTTTTGTAGCGTATGGGGCCAAGAACAATCGACACAACCCAAATCCATTCACATTCCCACATTTTTCTTCAAAAGCGGCCGTAGGACGGCGGAGGAGGGGAGAAGATGGGGAAAAATGCCTAAAGAAACAGGCAAATGCTCCAATTCTATCTATATCACGCTTCTTTCATGGTATTTCCGCCAAAATTGTCAAAAATGCCCTTCCATCACAAGCGCCCTCTCCCCATCCCCTCCTATTTTCATCAGCTGCTACAGAACCCTCCCCCAACTTCTCTCACCACGACCCCACTTCAAAAATTCCAAAAGCGTCTTCCTTGTTGGACTTTGTACAGCACACAGTTGACCGTTCCTCGATTCTAGTTCCCTAGCTGTTTCCACTTTTCCGTTTTTTCAAATAGTAATGATTGAGTCATGGAACGACTTTTCTGGGAAAGAGTTCGGGAGCGTCCCACAAGTAATCAATCCGAAATGCGACAGTTGAGACTTTTTGCCGTTCGTCATCGGATAATTACGTGATGATGATGCTGTTGACTGATGGATGATTGTTGCTGCATTTACGATCCTTTTTCGTCAAGAGAAGAGATTCCATCGAACCAATTGAATTAGAACATTTCCTGGTACTACTCGACTATTGAAACCTACGGTAATCCTATCCATATTTACCAATTTTCTTTTGCGGATATAAGGGGTAATCCTGTTAACGATTGTGCCCATATTACTCTCTGGCGCCAGCCTCATTTGGCGCCAGCTTGGCCCGTAAAGCGTCCTGCATATTCTTGTCCACCGGCTAAGCTGGCGTAAAATGGCCCCATTTCCAAAAAGAATGTCACCCCCGTGATCACGGCTGAATCACCTACAAATGTAGGTGTACAACGATACTGCTAAAGAAAATCACGGCAGTCAACTTGGTGCTAAATGATGTCGGATCCAAGAATAGATCTGTCACATCCTTAAACGGTCCATTCAGTCACCATTCAGGTACGGAATTATCTCAAATATTCAGTAAATTATAATTTTTGCTGGATGAACATGTTTCTCGAGGTTTCCAAGGCCGTTCAATATCACCCAAGGATTTGAGATATCAAAAGACGACAGCCAGAGTCGAACTCGAAACTGTGCAGGTACGGATTTTTGTAGCTAGCGCGACGCGTACCTACTTGTCCTATTCTTGTCGGTCTAAGAGTCAGACGAGTCGGAAGAAGTTGAAAGCCGAATTGTCGACTTCCATCCAGTGACCCATGCGGCTGCGAGCACTTTCCTAAATTCAGTCGTATACCTGCAAAGTAAGCTGGTAAAATCACACTGTCCGAGGCTAAATCGCCCGCATGGTCGGAGAGAGATTAGACAAAGCCGTATGCTCTTGAAGGAGCTGTTTTCCGCGAAATGTGGTCGCATTTCTGAAAAATCTCCTCATGCACCCCTCCCTCCCCCCAATCGCGCCCCATCACTTTCGGAATTTGGGATGGAGATGTAGTTGGAATGTGGTATTGTGTGAGGACGAACTAGATAAAGGCATTATTGATATCATCATCTAATCGGGGGAGGCGGGGGAGGGCAAAAGAGGGGAGGGGTTTGTATATCTGAAATTGTGAATCGGGCCCATCTCATGATTGCCCGCCAAATGTCGGAAACCGAAAGGAACCGATGGATTTCGGGTTCCTAAGTGTCCCTATAGAATTCAAAAAGAAAGTGAAATGGGATTGGGCGCCGTCGAGCGTGCAACGACTGCGCGAGCATCCATATATGTCCATTTTGTTTGCCGCAGCCAAGTGTGTCTGCAATGCAGACGAAACAACGCAAGTGACGACGGCCTCTACAAAGTGTAGCAAATTTCTGCCAACGAGATGGCTAGCTCGCTGCAGATGTATTCTATTATGTTTTAACCTTTATCATTCTACCTTTAGCTTGAACGGCAAGCATTTGAGAACAGTGGCCAATGTGCTTCGATGCCATCAACTTCTTCCTTGCACTCTGAAGAGGCGTTTCACCTGACGAGGAATTCTATCACAATAATTACCACTTACAGCACTAATCTATCAGTTCACGCCACAAACTATCAACTATTAGATTTTTTGGAGGTCTTCGTCACTTGTGTTCTTTGTTCTGTATTTACAAATGCCCCTGGCTGCCGGATGAGAAGCACAAATACCCTCCTTTTCAAAAACGAGAAGAGCGTCGGGTGCAGACCATACACCACAAGTGACGACGGCCTCCACAAAATGTAAATGTTTTCTGCCAATGAAATGATTAGCCTGTTGCAGTTGTATTCTATCAGTTGTCACTAATTACAACTATCATTTACCAAAAATCAGCTATCACTATGAACCACTACTAACCAGATTTACTTGGAGGCCGTCGTCACTTGTGGTGTATGGTCTGCACCCGACGCTTTTCTCGTCTTCTGAAAGAGAGGTTAGCATGGTTCGGCCGTCTTACGGGTCTACAACAAAGGGACGCTAGTCTACGCAAAAAAGTCCCGCATTGAAACGAAGCCAACAAACCCTTATTTCTATGCAACATGAAACGGGAAATTTACCAGGAAGTAATGAAGTGGTAATTTGTTTAAGAACGTTCGTTAGTTTTGAATAGGTTTATATTGTTTCTTTTACTTCATTTATTATTATTTCACTGTTTTATTTTTCATATTTCATTATTTAAACAAACTACTTTTTACTTTTATTGGTGCTAACTTAGTTGGGGGGGGGGGCCACGCGGCGGCGCGGCAGTCTGCTCACCTGGGCTCTCTCGAGCGAGACAGTGTAAACTCGAACATTCCAGCTTTTCACGCATGTCAAGTGACTGCCCCCCCCCCCACCCCCTAGACTGGCTACACTCCCCCTGGCCCACGGATTTCCGAACATGCCAGGCGAGCAGACTGCCGCGCCGCCGCGTGCCCCCCCCCCAACTAAGTTAGCACCCTTTTATTATTTACTTATTATGATTACAAACGTTTCCACAGGCCGTTGTCGATGGATGAACCACTTGTTCAGGATTTGAGACTGATTTTATCCATCACGTGGAACTTGCATCTAATGAAGAGGTGCATTATCTTTCCACTCGTCCAACATTGCACTGTAGCAGGTAATTTTTGTTCTACAGAGTGGGCCAAAATTACTTGCTTAAGGGGTAAAACGGTTCTTCTGT